TCAAGAATTCAGCCACTCATTTTCTCTAAGCTTCTTTTCTTCAACATCTTATCTGCATTGTAACTTTTTTTTTTTTTTTCCTTTGGAGACGGAGTCTCGCTCTGTTGCCCAGTAACTTTTTTTTTAATCGACTACACTTCAAATCCTTTAAAAGAAAATAGCACTAAAGTACTGAGCCACTAAAGCTAATTTAGTTGTTTTTTCTTATTGAAGCTAAAGAATTATTTTGAAGCTCTCTGTTACTTCTGAACAGTTCACCAAGGTGGCACAGACTGCAGCACTCTGCGTTGTTGTCTGATGACCGGGGCAACTGGAGACTGGACGTGCCGACGTAGTCTATCCAAGCTGGTCAGTGTCAGTGGACACCGAGTCCCCAGTCCGTTGGCTCAAGCTCCTGTGATGTAAGACAACATAGCCCTGCTCTCAACAAGCCTGTGTTCTAGTCAGGCTAAGAAAGCAGTTAATCCGTGGCATAGAGCAACAGCGTAAAGGGCTGCAGGCTGAAATGTGAGTGGCTGACCAGCGAGTGCCAGTCCTGTCAGTTCTGAGTCACATATCTCAGGTCATGGTAAATTTATAAAATACCTTCAGAGGCAAGGCGTGCATTCCCTGCACACAGGAAAAGACTCAACTGGAAAGAAAATCTCCTCTTTTTCTTGTGTATTTGATAACCAGTCTTTTTAATCTAAAAGTACAAATAAGGCACGCATTATAAATCTCATTTACTGTCCTAATGAGTTAGCCAACCTCGAGTATAAACATTTGTCCCCTGCTGTGTCTCGATGGCCTGAGCCACACATGGACACAGTATCTATTCAGTAAGTATTTGATAAATGAATGAGGCAGTGAATGAATCAGTTAAACCAAGAGTCAGGATTTCCTTTGCTTTCCTAAAACTATGTAGCTTTTATTCTCTACAGAAAATGGTATATTTGCAACAGTATTTTGTTGTTCTTTTGAAGCTCAAATTTTGCTTTGAATTATTAAACTTTACTCAAGATGAGTTCAGGGACTTAATTTTCTGGATGCCAATAAGACAGGAAGCTGACCTACTCATCTCTCTCCTAACTCTGCACATGTCTTCATTCATTCTGAATGGTGCGTGACCACTTAGAGAAGCTGCTTAACTCCAAGATCCAGGCATCAGGACTAGTAAGGTGACCCTGGTTAACTGAGCCAGCCCACGTGGTCCCAAAATATCTCAGATTGTGGCTGTGAATTTTGTTACCAATTCATAATCTTACATTACCAGCTAACGCCAAAGACATTTGATTTGTAGTTGTGCTAATTGTAAAGATATCAAGTAGGTAATATCATACAGTTCTTCATAAAATCTTTGAAACCATTAGGTATTGAACCATTCAGACCCCTTCACTATTTTTTATTTTCTGTAGAATACTCTCAAATGGTTTTATCTTTTGAAATGTATATTCATATAGTTATATACTTTTCAAAATAATAGTGAATAAGGCAATAAAAGGAAATTTAAAACATTGAGATTAGAAAGGAGGAAATAAAAATATCTGTGTTTGTAGATACTATAATTTTCTATGTAGAATCCACACACATACAGCCTCCTATACTAGTAAACTTCATAAAGTTTCAGGATACAAGGAATAATTTTTCAAAATCATTTCTGATTCTGTATATTAGCAATGAATAATTGGGGTGTGAAAAAATGTGTAAATATAATAATACATTTAAGCATTTATAATAATACAAGAACGTGAAACACTGAAGTGTGCCTCTAACAAAATACACGCAAGATCTGTGTGCTGGAAACCAACAACACTGAGGAAAGAAACTGTAAAAGGCATAAACAGATGTTCCTGGATTGAGAGGTGTAAACAGATGTTCCTGGATTGAGAGGTGTAAACAGACGATCCCGGATTGAGAGACGTGAACAGACGATCCCGGATAGAGAGGCGTGAACAGACGATCCCGGATTGAGAGACGTGAACAGACGTTCCCGGAGTGAGAGGCGTGAACAGATGATCCTGGAGTGAGGGCTTCAGTGTTGTTGCACATTGACAAGCTCACTCTAGAATTTATATGGAAAGGCAAGGGAACTCGAATTGCCAAAATAATTTAGAAAAAGAACAGAGTTGGAAAACACACTACCTGATTCCAAGACTTACTGTAAAACAGTAATCAATTAGACAATGTGTTATTGGCAAAAGGACAAACAAAAGATCAATGGAACAGAGAAGAGAGCCCAGAAATACACTCGCATCTGTCAGATGATCTTTGGCAAACGTGAGAGGAAATCAGATGGAGAAGAGTTGTGTCTGCAGCTGCTGGGACAACTGGCCGCCCATGAGCAACAGACCTGCAGCCTCCACCTCACACCTCATGTGAAAATGCACCCAAAGTGGACCCTTGACCTACATGTAAAGCTATAAACCTTTCAGAAGAAAATACACACCAAATATGCATGACCTTCGATTAGGCAAAGAGTTTTCAGACATGAGATCAAAATCATGATCCTTAAAGGGAAAAAAATAATAAATTAGACTTTCCCATAATTTAAAAGTTTTTGCCGGGTGCAGTGACTTATCGTGCCTGTAATACCATCACTTTGGGAGGCTAAGGCGAGAGGAAAACTTGAGCCCAGAAGTTCAATACCAGTCTGGGCAATATAGTAAGACCGTGTCTCTACAAAAAATAGAAAAAGTTAGCTGAGCATGGTGGTTGCTGTGTGCCTGTAGTCCCAGCTACTCGGGCTAAGGTGGGAGGATTGCTTGAGCCAAGGAGGTGGAGGCTGCAGTGATCTGTGATTGAGCCACTGCACTCCAGCCTGGGTGACAGAGTGAGACCCTGTCTCCAAAAAAAAAAAAAAAGACAAAGTTTTTCTCTGTGAATGATACTGTTAAGGAAATGAAAAAACAAGCCACAGCCTGGAAGAAAATATTTGCACGTCACACTTTTGATAAAGGAGTTGTTTCTATAGTATATAAGAAATCCCCAAAATTCAACGAGAAAACAACCCAATTTTTAAAGCAGATAGGAGATATTACTGGACACCACCTCAGAGATGATCCTCAGATGGCAAAGGAAGCCTGTGAAGATGCTCGGTGTCATTTTCATCAGGGAACTGCAAGTTGAAGCCACAGTGAGTTGCTGCGTACCCCCCAGTGCTAGAGCAGCCGAAACACCGGCCACATGAAAGGCTGGGAGGACCCAGAGCAACAGAGACTCCCCTTCACTGTGGGGGTGAAGGAAGGATGGCACAGCCTCTTTGGAAGACAGTTTGGGCATTTCTGACAAAGGTAAACATATATTTACCCCATGACCCAGTAGTCCATTCCTAGGTATTTCTCCAAGAGAAATGAAAACAGATTCATACTAAATCCTATATATGAATGTTCACAGCAGCACTGTCATCGTTGCCAAAAACTGGAAACAGCCCTATGCCCTTCAGCCAGTGGATGGAGGACATCTCTGTGGATGGGGACAGCCCGTGCGTGGATGGAGGACATCTCTGTGGACAGAGACAACCCGTGTGTGGATGGAGGACATCACTGTGGACGGGGACAGCCCGTGCGTGGATGGAGGACATCTCCGTGGACAGGGACAGCC